AGATATGGCGCTTGTTTTGTTTTTTTCATAGGAGCCTAAATTTTGAGCCCTGAACGTTGACTCTGAGTTCAAACCCACACCCAAAGGAAGGGATGTAGAAATGAATGCAGGCAGTGTCTATCTTAAACGCTTTAGAATATGTCCCGAAAAGAGAATTTGATAACATGTGAAAAGAATCATTTCTCTTCCATGTGAGAGCCAAAGATATATTTGACTGGGGCTGTAAGAAGACTGTTTTGTGTTATTTAAGAATAGCAGAATGGACCACACAGTAGAAAATGTGCTGCTTCGCTTGCTCTAGTTGGGGGAGAAAAAAACGGGAAAAAAGACTCTTTTAAAATGAAACTGACCTTCACCAGCCAGAGGGAATTAAGAGAAATTAGATCCTGGCCCAGCCCAAACTCTGCCTTTTGATGCAGTGGGTTCAGACTCAGCTTTAAAAAAGTACACAGGAAAAGATCTGAGATTCAGTCCCCTGTGGACATGGAAAAGAAACATTAATTCTTAGAGTGAGTCATACAGGAACATTGTCCAGTTAGTCATTTGATAGCCGATGTTAAACCTGAACCAGTTTCCTGCAACTTATCAAACAACGTTGTCCCTCAATTTAGCTCATTGTCTGCTCCTCTGCCTTCCTGCTGATGTCTGTGTCACACACAGGCAACACTAAGAGACTGCACTTTATTCTAAAGAAAGAACGCCTAACACAAACTCCACAGCACATAGTCACTGTGGTGACACGCCCCCTGGGTTCAGGGCCTGTGTAACTTCCCCTTTGTGCACAATGAGATATACACAAGCCCTTGCCCTTTTCCTGTGTCCAAATAAACAGTCCAAAAAGGGCTCTTTCGGTGGAACATTGCCTTTTGCGTATGTGTGTGCGTGCACACGTGTTGTCGTACGTTACGTAAGCTTGACTGTGGCCCTCAGCCCCCTTCATTAGGGCTGCTGTTCAGCCCCTGCTTCCTTTGGTCACAGTTCATTGACCTGTAGGCCCATAACAGACATGGGAATCGGATGTGTCATTCCAAGTGTGTGTGCGTTTCTGTCTCAGTGCTCCTCCAGCTGTGTAGCCAGGATATCTGGCTTCGCGTTTGCACATGCTTCACATTTTGTAAACACACTCTCAAAAACGAGTTGTTCTTGTAATTACTCGGAACTCAAGGACATCTCGATCTTGTGCTGTGTTTATCATGTGCATTGGTTTTGTCTTTGCATCCTGCGTGATATCAGTGATCTTAAAATAGGACGGGCAGTTCTCCCAGTCGTGGTTAATACATTTAAACACCTGATTAAAATGTGGGACTTTTGGGCAGTTACATGTTCTTTCACAAGAATACCGAGTTGGTTTGTTGTTGATTAAGGATCCAAAGTCCTGTTGACATTATTTCTTCTCTAAGATTGCAAAACAGTTTTGCCTCATCACGATGGTCAGAGACACCTTCTCATCATAATGAAACCTTTCTGAGGCACAGCTGAGTTTCAGTTTTATTTCTCATAAGTAATTGACCACAACGTCGGCTGAGGAGCATGATGGCTCGGCAATAACAACCGTTGCGGTTCCAGCCTGCCTGGTGCTAATAAGGAGAAGAGATTATGTGCTGGATGATCCTTGATAATAAAGTGGACTCACACAGGGATCTTGGAGGGAGATGTTCTTATAATAGCAGGAAGGCTCTGTTGGTAGATTTATCCCTATACCAAAATGTGATGTAGTCTGTCAGCAGGCTCTCGCTCGTACCTCTTTAGCATGCTTTAGTTTTTCAGTCTAGCTTTTCTGTTTGTTTGTTTGTTTGTTTAGTTATAGCCATTAAATAATGTACTAAGCTGCTTGCTCACTAGTTAACATCCAGTCGTAAAAAATGTTACTAGTGAAAAGCAAGAATTTGATCACCTTAGCAGGTCATCTACTGATCGGAAGGTTGGTGGTTCGATTCCTGGCTTCACCTAGTCTGTATGCCAAATATCCTTGGGCAAGATACAAATTGCTCTCCGATGCATCCATCGGCGTGTGAATGCTAGTTAGAAAGCACAAAGAAAAAGTGCTTGTCTGAATGGGTGAATGCACAAGTTGTGTAAAGCGCTTTGAGTGCTCAGAAGAGTAGAAAAGTGCTATATAAGAACCAGTCCATCCAGTCCAACTCACCTCACAATTAACAAACTATAAATATATAAAATCAATGTCAAAAACATGTTTAGAGACATAAAAACAAAAATGAGTAAATTATAGAAACTTATTAATAAATAGATCCTCATTCATACCTGTTGGAAATAAACTCTTTAAATGGAATATCCACAATAGCTCTCTCTTGTTCCTGATAAAACTGATATCTCTTTGACTGGGCTTAACAGCTTTAATACCTATAAAGAATAAAGATGAGCTACAGTGTTTTTCATTAAAATGTCTTGCAATCATTCCTTTAAATAGAACTTCTGTATTGTTTATTTCCTTTTATGGCTACGTTCACACTGCAGGCGAAAGCGCATCAAATCCGATTTTTTTGACCCTATGCGACCCATATCCGATCATGGTATGACAGTGTGAACGGCACAAATCCGATATTTTCAAATCCGATCTGGGTCACTTTCGTATGTGGTACTGAATCCAATACATATCCGATGTTTTAGAAAGCGACTGCTGTTTGAACGGTCATGTCGCATTAAATCCGTCTTTTAAGTCACTGACACAAATTATCAGCGCCGGAGAAGCGCCCGAGAAGACATCGCGAACGCTTCCTGGGCGTCCAGCGTAGATGTCAGTGAAACTGTTGGGAAGATAATGTTGGAGAAACGTGAACATTTTATTTATACTGTATAATCTGCAGATTCTGACAGGAATCTGCAACTATCCTTTGAAGCACCGCTCCTCTAAAACAGCAATAAGGATAATTATTAGGTTATCTACATTATTATGTAAATAACAAAATAACCTAAAGCAAAAACTGGGAAACGTAAAGTCCGAAGTCTTTATATTAAGGGCCAGCAGTCAAACAATATTGTTTGCTCTGGGTCTAAACTTCTTTTTGCGCATGCGGGCCGCTTTGAGCGTTCACACTAGAGCGCGTTTGCTGTCGCATTTTATTTGTTGTGTGAACGAGCAGACAAAAAAATCAGATTTGATCAAAAAAATCGGAATTGAGCATTAAGACCTGCAATGTGAACGTAGCCTTTGAGAGGACACAATATATATATATTTTATTAATAAAGCTTTTTACATAAATAATCTTGCCACTTATAGGGTCTTTAGATGATTTTAAGTGTATTGGTAATTTATGCAAGACCCAAATTCAAAATTACCTTGTAGGCTATGTAGGTTATATCACAGTTGTTGTTGGGCAATCATGTGAAGCTCTAACAACCTGAACCCTAATGTTTTACCTTTTTTCATAAGTTGCCGTTTCGTGAGGATTCTTTAAACATCTTTAAATCTGTAATGAGTCAGTCCAGACCCTTTGGTTTAACCAGCCAGCAAGCATCATCCCCTTGAATGCTGATTGTTCAGCCTATTTATGCGTTAATGGGTGATTGGTTTATTTGATTTTTTTCTGGAGTCTACTTTTTTATTTTTAACACAAACTCTTCTTTCCACCAGCTCTTTATCTTTCGCCATGTCCCTTGGAAGTAGGTGAAGTTGTGCCAAACCTTTGGATATATACCTGCTGCCCAGTCTGTGAGTCAGCAAAACGATCCCAAAACCATGTGCAACCTTTTTCCTTTTGTTTTTTGTTTTTTTCTAAAGGCCTTGTTGAGTGAGATCTTGGCAAGAAGACACCATATACCAATCAAACATAACATGGCCTAATGTTGTGTTTGTCCCCTTTATGCTGCCAAAACAGCCCTAAACCAATCGAGGCATGGACTCAACACCTCAGACTCATTGGTGTGCTTCTCAAGCTATTTCTGCTTTGTGGCAGACCAGATCATCACACAGGCAACCTTCTTCCTTTGCATTAGTTCGAATGCCCACGTGCCCATTGATGGTGCCTTTAGTGGTGGACAGGTTGTAGCATGGACTGGTCTACAGCTACGCAGCCACATACGCAACAAACTGTGATACACTGTATAATCTGATGCCTTTTTATCAGAACCAGCATTTTTATTTGTTATTTCTTTCAGCAATTTGAGCTACAGTAGCTCAAATTGGACCACGTGCACCAACCTTCACTCCCCATATGCATCAGTGAGCCTTGGCCACCCATCACCCTGTTATTGGTTTACCAATGTTCCTTCGTTGGACCACTTGTGATAGACACTAAACACTGCAGTCAGTGACCACTGCTCAGATCCTTACATTTGTCTGTTTTTCCTGCTTCTAAGACATCAACATTGAGGACAAAGTGCTTACTTGCTCCCTGTTATATCCCACCCACTAACAGGTGCCATGATGAAGAGATAATCAGTGTTAGTCATGTCATCCGTCAGCGGCCATAATGTTGTGTTTGATCGGTATATAACTGACTGTGAGAATGTTAAATAGGATTTTAATTGTGTGGATCTTGAGTGTGATGCACGTTACATCTTCTCGAGTACAATTTTAATACTTTTCACAAACCTTCATTATGTCTTTGTTTGTAATTTGCAAAAACCAAAATGGAAATGTAAGTGTAGAGCTTGATGGGCAACATAGCCTTGCAGTCATGGGACTAATCATGTCGCAGCTTAATCTTCATATTAAATACAGATGCTGTGTATGAGTGGACTGTATCATCGTAAACCTTCCAGCTTCTACTTAACGGCTTCTCAGTTTTATTTGTGGATTTTCCTCCCTATCATCTTGTTTTAGGAAGCAATTGCTTCCCACGTCCGACCTCATCACTCTGTCCTCAAGCGAAAAGGATGTTTGGTTTTGTTGCTTTTTTATCCTCTTTGTGTGTGTGTGTGTGTGTGTGTGTGTGTGTGTGTGTGTGTGTGTGTGTGTGTGTGTGTGTGTGTGTGTGTGTGTGTGTGTGGGCATGTGTGTCATTCATGTATTCAGATGTGTCTGCATTTGTGTGTTCTAGGTGACCTCTGCATGCACCCCAGCTCCCTCCAATGATCTGGTAAGTCCCCTCCATTTCCTCATTTCTTTTCCTCAAAATAAACTTTTCCCACCCTGTCTGTCCATAGTTAGGAGGCATGGCTCCCCAAAACCACTGTATGGTTTCCTCTTGCTGAATTCCTTTTGGGAAGCCGAGCCCTCAGCCCAGTTAGTGCTCATTCCTCGAGCTCTGTGGGATTTCAGTCCACAAGAGGAAAAAAAAAAAGAGTTGATGTAGGAAGTAGTAATGTTTACATATTAGGGAGTCTGTTTGTTTAATTAACTCTCCTTTCCTTCCTCTGTATTGCCTCCTCTTCTCTCCCCTTTCTCCCCACTCTCACCTCCTTTCAACCTCCTCCCTTTGCCCCTCTTCTTCTCGCTTTCGTTCACTTCACCTTCATCCTATCACCGCTCCTTCCTCACATCCAGCAGCGTAGAGGGACGGCTCCTTCTCGACACATCCAACACCTGGTGAGCATACTTTGACCTCCATGCTCTCTCCTCGTCCTCCTCATAACCCTCATGCTTTTTCGCTCTGTATCTTCCCCCTTTTTCCTACACGCCGCCAGTATCAAGCTGTCTGTCTGGGCAATGTCCAAACCTGTCAAGGAATAAAAAGTTTGTGGCTTCACTCATTTTGATTTATCACATACTAAACAAACCGAAGAGAGAGCGATGGCAGATACTTTACTAAAGGCCATGAAGTATGTAATTGAGCTCAAAGTGATTTATCCCTTAAAGAACTAGTGTGTTGGGCAGATTTAACCTACTTCTTCATCGTGACATATTTTAGCTTTGTAAATGTGCAAACAAAGGATCAAAGTGCCTCAGAACAAGAAAGGGTTAATAATAATCTGCATATTAGATTTTTTTAAATTCATCCCATAGACTGTAAATAAAACATGGTAAGTGCCTTAAACCTAAAGAGCGATCAAGGGGCTTTGGTCTCAAGAAGAAGTCTGGTTCTAGAGAAACCCGTGGCAACATATTATATGTAATGTATAAAACATTATGTTTATTTTGTAACATTATTGGTCAACAATAGAACAAAAGGTTCACAGCAACAAAACCTCTCACTAACCAATGACTGAAATCACTGTGGTTGTGACCGTCTTTTATGTACAGTCTATGTTCTGGAGCTGTTCGCTTTAAATGGCCTGTATTTATATAGCGCTTTACTAGTCCCTAAGGACCCCAAAGCACTTTACATATCCAGTCATCCACCCATTCACACACACACACTGGTGATGGCAAGCTACATTGTAGCCACAGCCACCCTGGGGCGCACTGACAGAGGCGAGGCTGCCGGACACTGGCGCCACCGGGCCCTCTGACCACCACCAGTAGGCAACGGGTGAAGTGTCTTGCCCAAGCACACAACGTCCAAGCCGGGGCTCGAACCAGCAACCTTCAGATTACAAGGCGAACTCCCAACTCTTGAGCCACGATCGCCCTGCCTTTAGGCTGAAATCTTGAAGGAGGATCGTGGTTCCACAACTTTAATGCCATACCTTTGCTCTCTGCCGTTTTATCTCAGTGTAAATTATATCTCCAGTGGAACATTAAAACAATGCACAGGTCAATGCGATGACATGATTTGACATCTTAATTTATTATAATTTACTTAACTTACTGTGTACAAGATTGACTAGAGAGTGTCCAGTTTACTGTGAGAGAAGAGATGAACAAGCTTTCAAAGGAGGCCTGAAAGGCAAACTTCAGGGACTTGAGGGTAGTCCATATCCAATGTGGACAGATAAGTAACTTGCTCATTTGTTATCATTATCAAAAAGGGCCCAAAGTACATCATTGTTAAAGTGGTAATGAGGTATAGATGAGCTTTGACTGTGTCTTATTGCATATTTGTTTTTTCTACAGGGATCCACCAAATCTTTAACCTACACCAAACAGAGAAACACCCTGCCAAGGTAACACCATTTCATTCATTTTCCACGTTGGGGAAGTTTCTACAGAAATCATTAAATACAAATGCAAATAATGTCTCTACACTGGCACAACGCTCCGCTTGCTCTGAAACTTGCACCATCTTATACCTGTTCCTTAGACAAACGTTTTTATTGCGTGACCTGCTTGTGAAGCACTACCCAGTTTCTCTCTTACGTGATGGTTTCTCTCCATTCATCCAGTTAGGAGCTTCTTCAGAGTGCGTCTCAGGGTCTGTGCTAAGCTACCACAAACAACCCACTGACCCCTGCTGTCTCTTTTCGGTTCCTCCAGGAGTTTCAGCGTGGACCGTGTGATGGAGCGAGTGATGGAACGAAACTACGACTTTGACCTCACCTACATCACCGAGAGGATCATCTCCGTCTTCTTCCCTCCGAAGCTGGAAGAGCAGAGATACCGGCTGAACCTGAAGGAGGTGGCTGCCATGCTCAAGTCCAAACACCAGGAAAAGTTTCTGGTGAGTGAAGAGAAATGCATTACACTCATCAGCTGAGTTATACCGTAAGTACAGAAGCCTTTGCAAGACATTGTTTACTCCTGGGAGCATTCAGCTAAATACATTTGAAGCATTGTTGCACAATACACTTTGGCATATAGCCACAGGAAGCGACAAAATAGAAACCCACAAATAAGCAGTCTGTTTGTTTTTTTCTGTCACGCCCATAATAAAATAATAGCGATGACAGCTTGTTACTGTGATGCAGTGTAGTGATGATATAAAAAAAACAAACCTTTCTGTTTTCAGCTCCTGAATCTTTCTGAAAGGCGCCACGATATCACCCGACTGAACCCAAAGGTAGGACTTCCTGTAATTCTTCAGGTTAAGAATTCACTTCAGAAACGTTCATTTAATCTGCTTCTCCCGTCTCCACCCACCATCAGGTCCACGACTTTGGCTGGCCCGACCTCCACGCCCCACCGCTGGATAAGATCTGTGCCATATGCAAGGCCATGGAGAACTGGTTGAACTCTGACCCCCAGCACGTGGTGGTCTTACACTGCAAGGTCAGACTTTAGGGGCCCTCTGAGGTTCCTCAGACGGACATCACACCATTTCCCAGGCTTTAAAACAGGCACATGCGACGTGTCTGTAATGACTGATGTTTCCAAACAAGCTTGCAAAATATCAGGGCTCACTGATGCATGCTGGGAGTGAAGGCTGGCTCATGTGATCTGACCCAACAGATCCGCTACAGTTGCTCAAATTGTCAAAAGATTTACTGCTGATCCTGTTAGACACGTGTCAGAATAGACAGGGCATCACTGTTTGTTGTGTATGGGGCTGCATAGCTGCAGACCAGACAGGGTCTGTGTGCTGACCCCGGTCCACCTCAGAAAGCACAACAATGGACACGTGAGCATCAGAACTTATGTATCATTACAGCATGTGGAGTAGAAGTCCAGCCCATTCCAGCCCACCTTCTTCCATTGGAGCAATGGAAGAAGGTGGGCTGGTCTGATGAATCACATTTCTTTGACATCAGCGTGGATGCTCAGGTGTGTCACTTACCTGGTGATCACAATTCACCAGGATGCATTATGGGAAGAAAGCAAGCTGGTGGAGGCAGTGTGATGCTTTGGGTTATGTTCAAGGAGAAACCTTGGGTCTTACCATCCATGTGCACCACATTTATAAATCAGCAGCATTTGTGAATTCTAAAATCTCAACCAGCAGCTAGTATTAGGATTCAGCAAATTAATTTAATGAATAAAAGGAAAACGTTTTCTACTGTAGCGTACCATTCTAGAAGTGTGAAGTAGTATAAAGATGAAATAGTGAAGTGAAGCATATCCAAATTATACTTAGCAGTATCGGATCCCAACACTACCAGATGCCTGAAACAAGCCTGTGAAACTGTGAGCAGCAATATTATAGAAACAAATGGCTAGCTGACCTTTGGGCATGTGACGTTACAGTTTAGTATTTCTCTTGCTTGCTTGTGCATGTTTAATCAGACATAATTGCTCCGTAAAGAACACTTTATTAGATACTGCTGTTCACACAACTTGACTAGAACCAAAATTGCAGAGTGCACCATATAATTCAATAAGCTCCTTCCACCCATGGTAAAAAAATTAACCATGCAATTAAGATCAAACTCTGTCATCCTGACATTTAACTTCCACGCCTTTGCACATCGTTTAGAGACTCCTTTCCATCGTCCAATCAGAAGAGAGGTGGTGATTTGAACGCTTGGACCATTACTGAACAGTCACCAGCTAATGCTGGTGGTGTCTGAGCTCCCAGACCTCGTCTAGATGTTTTATTTATTGGTTTTGGTCAGGAGAATTGAAATCCTAAAACCAGACTACTTCTGTGGTCTGCCAACTTTCCAGAACATTCCAGCTACAAGCAATCCTTTGCCAGCTGCAGATCACGCCAGGGACGTGAATAAACAAGTTGTTGTCAATGAAACGTCCTCCGCTGAGAGATCTGCTGTGCAAAACAAGCTTTAATTTGTGCTCAGCGTGTGGAGGTGCAGCCTCCCTACTGGGATCTGGAAGGGTCACTTCAGGAATTCGGAGCTGGAATGTCTTTGGAATGTGTCAGGAAGTAAAGAGCAACCAGTGTGAAAAAAACACCACAGGGAGCTTTTTAATTTGAAGTCAAGCAGCCTTTTTCACATCTCGCCGTGACACTCCCATGTGTCCTGCTCTTCTGCTTTGCTCCTCTTTTTTTTTTTCTATGAAAAATCTGTTAAAACCATCTGGTCTTATAAAGCGTGAAAATGAGCTGTCCATAACACCTGAGGGTGAGATCAGCACATCGTCATCATTTCTTTGTCCTCTCCTCTCCCTCTTACAGGGTAACAAAGGTAAAACTGGCGTCATTATCGCAGCCTACATGCACTACAGCAAGATCTCTGCAGGGTGAGTATGTGTTTGTTAATGTCAGAGACAATCAGAGCAATCAATCAGAGTATCTGCACATTTAATGTGTTAAAGACTGTCTGCTCTTGGGAACTGTTTACGTTCAGTTCCCAAGAGCAAACAAACACAGTTAAAACAGTCTAAAAGTGGTCAGTGTTGTTGTGCTCCCAGATGTTCCAATCAAGAGTGCTGTCCTGGTTTCCATTTGGGGGGAAAGAGATCATGTGCAGGGGCTGCAATGACTGATATGCTCCGCTGCATGAAACACTTGCTTTGTTTTGGTTGTTTAGTTTTACCTTTAGGATGTTGTGGCCCAGACTAGGGTGATCCAGTATTGTGATTGTGACAGATTACCACCGCACGTCCCTCATGATTTGATATTATTGCAATGTTTAACATTATTGCAAGTTTTGCAGTATTGCTATTTATAACCTTTATTCAACTGTAAATTATAAAACCTAAAACATGCCATAAATCTTGCCATAAGTCGGAGTCCGTCTGCTACTGGTCTGTTATCAGTCTGCAATTGAATGGGAACAAGCTGGCTATTACATGCAGTCTGTTTGTGATGATACAGCAATTAACTGTGATAAATGGTTAAAGATCACATATATCATGTTGTTTACATGGACAGAAAGCCACATGTAATTATCACATTTGTGCTCTTCATCCTTCACGTTTTCTAAGAATATAACAGAATACAACCAGCCGACAGCCGGTTAAAGTCGAGTCCCCTCGAGTTGTGCTCGTAATGTCTCTGAGCAACTGCAGTCAGTCCACGTTTGCTCGACTAACATTATCTGAGGGTTTTGGTGCCCTCTGATTCATATTATACTAAGAATATTTTAATGTATTCAATTAAATGTCAATATTTGGTATCTCTATCGATATAAAATCGCAACATAAAATATCGCAATACTTTGCCGTATCGTTCTTTGTTTGGGCTCAGGTATAATAGACTGCAGCGCATGCAGTGGAGGCTTGTACCCAACGAGCAATATTATCGGAGCATCGATGCGTCAGCACTTGAAGTTTGAAGCAACGAGCAAAAACATGTTCGGCTTAAATTCAGCTACTCAAACATGCATAACCTAAAATGCTTTTAAACATATTCCAGCAGTGAGGCTGATGTGTGCAGGTTTATGTACGTGCAGGACAAAGATTTCCATTCAGACTTGGATGATAAGTCATTTGATAAATGAAGCCCTCCGGATTTTGCACAGGAACAGTGGAAACTGGTTTATCCTGTGGCCAATGCCAGCTGTATCCTCTCCATGTACTTTCTGGCATCTAGAGAGTCTGGTGCAAGTCCCATGATGGAAATTGTTGGCTAAAAGTGTGTGTGTGTGTGTGTGTGTGTGTGTGTGTGTGTGTGTGTGT